TATATAGGTATTACATACAGATATAATAATATAATAATATAATAATATAATAATATAATAATATAATAATACAATAATAGAATAATATATATATTGATGTAGAGTGTTTTTTTTGAATTGATACGTACATATACCAAACCACAGTTGCTTGCAGGTCTCAGTCCTGAATACACCAGCAAACACTTACGTGAAGCTTATTCTTCAATGCAGAGATAGATTGTGAGCGTATACTATCTTTTTGATTCAACTCTTTCTGTTGCGCGTGTTTTTCGCTCTCCTTCTCGGCGAGTTGTGCAGTGGTCCGCTATATAATGTGGATGTAATGGATTATCAAGAGAGAGTAGGTGTGTGAATTGACAGCATAGAGTAGACCTGATGACGAAAGTGGAATGAGAAACAACAAGAAAATGTATCTGCGACCGAAGACTGATCGGAAATGACAACATAGAGAAAACACAATAAGCCACACCTAGATATATAATAAATTTTATGAAACTCAAAATGATGTTCATGAATTTGAAAACACACATATATATACACATATACATACACATACATATACACATACGAATCTACGGTAAACCCTAGAAACACGCACACTAATCACAGAACCCCACATCATATACCTGAGCTTCAGCAATGTTCATTCTGATTTGTTCAATATGATCGTCACTACCTCCATCTTGCTGCATAAGCAAATTCTTTCCATATTGCAGGCCGTTGGTGGTGACCAAATCGCCCTTGTCGCCATATCTGGACTGCTGCCTGCTCACTTGCTGGTTGCCGGAGAAGAACTTCTTTGTCTGTGAAATGAGTGAGAATTAGTTATGGTATTAAGTCGATGCATAGTATATACTATTCAGGTTGTTAAAAATAGCACTCTGCATTGCAATTAAATCATATACAAAAACGGATTCACTATATTTCAACGTCTAGACAAAAGTAAAGGGCCATCCAGATGTGTGGGAAATCCCCATACGTGGTCAGCAAGTGAGTGAAATGCATTAGGATTCTTGGGTTGTTGTGGACTAGAAACAAGCACGTACTCTCACACGGATGATTGTATGTTTCTAATGGAGGCCATTGTTCAGCAACCAACTGATTCTCTTGTATGTAACACATAGCATAACCCGTCCCTTACTCAGAATGGCTTCATAAGCGTAACTTAGTAATAAGTCGAGTTTCCATCAATCTCTTGTGTCAGCCATACCTCATGTATACTTTCAAGCAAATTAATTAACTATCAGGCATATAAACACCTGCGGGTACTCGCGGGTATATTTCATTCACATATACATATCATACTAGAAATGCTCAGCCGATCATACAATCAAATTCACATTCTACGAGTTACTATAGGTAGCTGTGTGAAACAAATAGTTATCCTTACCTTAATCTGCTTCAGCAGATGATCGATCTTATCAGGGCCGGCCAAACTGGCAGGACCAATTGGAATGTCGTGATGAAACAGTTTATTGCATAGCACACGCGCGATGGGTGCGGGGCAGGTGTACATGTTCGATAACACATCCGTGAAGCCGGCCTATAGATAGATTGTTGGAGACAAGAGTGCGTCCAAAAAAGTGTCAGTACATACAAGCACACACACACACACACACACACTATATATATATATATATATATA